TGTATCCCATGTGACAAAATTAAATTTAATTATATTAAATTACTGTTTAATTATAAGTTTTGATGTGTGCAGTGTTTACTGGAATGGTTTTTTTCTTCTTCTTCAGAAAAAGGCTCTGAGCCTTGATATTGGTGACTTCGGTGTCTGATCTTAAACTAGACCTTTATCATCTTGTTCTAACTCCAAGGTTTGGAACCAGCAGAGCAAGACAACTGACTGAAGATGACAGTCTGAATCGGGCTCTTTGTCGTTAATGATCAGGGGCCTTATTTATAAAACTGCGTAGGATCCATACCAAAGGTTTTCATGTGCACCGAAGATGGAAAAGACATAGGCCAAACATTTATCAAATTTATAAAACTGGAGGCGGATGCCTTAAAAGCTTCCCTGCACACTGCCAGAGTATGGACCCGCTGTTGGAGGAACAGGGCAGCCATTTGGATTGTTTTGCCCCATTAAATGGAACAGCGATTGAGTAAGGAGGAAATCAGGGTGGATGGGTGGGACAGCTGGTCATGTGGTCATTTCCCTTTTCAAATGGATAGTCATGATTGTGACTACAATCATTCCCTAAATCTAACCTAACCTGGTACACTCCACGGTTACCATTAGACATCACAACGACAGTCTGGAACATGATGACAGCACTGAGCCAATGAAAGGGGCCTATTGAGCCAACTAGGAGTGGCATAAGGCCAAATCAACTCGTATCTGATGAGAAACTGCTAACAGGAATTTAATAGGGCGATAACATTCAAAGTGGATGTTCAAATCAGAATATTCAGGGTTAATACTAAGGCAAGGATTTGAAATCAAATCAAATCAAATTAAATCAAGGTGAGCTAGACTTTAAGAATCTCCCACCTGATATATTCTGGTATTATCCTTTGCATCTCTGTTGCAAGTGTGACCATCAGACGGCCCGACCCTCTCCTCTCAGCACTGAGGGTGTGGAAACGTGGTGATGAACCAGTGCCACGATGATCAGTAGTTTAATAATGATTTAATAATGAATCAAAGATGATTAGCAATATACATAGCTGGCAGTCCTGGAAAAACCAGCTTGATTTTGAAAGTAGTCAACTGAAGAAATTCCACCCTTACGTTGACTTCTCCCCAAAGTCACTCCTCCAAAACACAACACGCACTGCCTGACAACAACTTACAGATTTCAGGAAAATAACAAATGCCCCCCAAACAAAACAAAACAAAACCAATAATTACCTGTCCAGCAGAAATACGGCCCCCATGGCATCACTTCTCAGCCCCTTTTGTTCCCTCAGTTGGCGCCATCGTGCAAAAGCCACAGCGATGTTAATTCTGGTTTTACTTCTTGCAGCATCCAACTTCTTTTTACTTGTAACTCTCTCAAATACGGTCTCCATTTGCAGACGAAAGCTGCTGTGGGTACCTTCTCTGCTATAGCTCACTCTGTGAAACAGAGCAGTAACATGTCTACCTGCAACTGCAACTTGTGGTAGACTCTTGGCTCGCACATTGAGCACTTCTTGCAGCATCCAACTTCTTTTTACTTGTAACTCTCTCAAATACGGTCTCCATTTGCAGACGAAAGCTGCTGTGGGTACCTTCTCTGCTATAGCTCACTCTGTGAAACAGAGCAGTAACATGTCTACCTGCAACTGCAACTTGTGGTAGACTCTTGGCTCGCACATTGAGCGCAAGGGCAGAGTGCGCGCAAGTAGGAAGTAGGTTGACAGGCAGGTAAGCTGTCCAATGGTTTTGCTTGGGACGAGTGAAATTACTGGTCAGGCATTTTTCAGCCCTGCTGCTGCCACAGATGACAGATTATTTTCTTTATGTTGTCAGTGCATTTAATGTATTTGTTGCCATCCGGATGAAAATAGAATTTCAAGAAATGTAACAATAAATGCTTCTGAAATGAATTGCCAACTCTACCTTTAAGATTAGAGTTGGCCTCTATCTCTGAAAACAGAGAAATGCTGATGAAGTAGTTAGCGTCCTACAAGCACAAACAAAATGTGGATGCATTATTGGTTTGATATGAAGCCAAATTAAACCTGTATGAAGGATCAAAATAAAATCAGGCTTCTGTTCACCGCTTCACCGTCTGTGTCATCATTTTCCCTCATATCCAAAATGTTTGTACGTATAGGTCAGTTTCCATACAGGTGCATACATTTTCAAGTTAAGCTGACAGCATGATTTAAGTCCAGCTTTCTGCATACTCAGTGGTTATAAATGAGGCCTCTGATCTTTAATGCAGGTCACATACAGTATACAATGTACAGCAAACTGCCATTCAAGCGCAAATAGAGAAGCGGCACATGATTTTTTTTTAGCAACTCACAACTTCATCACTTCCTCACCAGTAGATAGTATAGGAAGGTAAAATACACATCTCTGCAGAAGCAAGCACATTGGTACAAAGACCATTTAAAGACCTGTATGAGGCCTTTCTACACTGCCGCTCAGTGATCAGCCCAGTGCACTAGTGTGCACTAAGGTTTTTCCAACAAGTCCAGTTTCTACCTTCACCTATCTGTCATGTTGAAAACACAGTGACCTATAGATCTGAGCTGTCCTAAGTGGGGTATCAACAACTTTATATGACAAATAGACATTTCCATAGCACCACATATAGTTAAAAACCTTCAAACACATAATTTCTCCACACATTAAGCATCAGATTTGGAAGCTACAGTCTAATGTGTGACATAAAGAAAAAACTCTTTTTGATGTCTCAGGTAAAATATTACCAGTGCATAAACATGTAAGGGGCACAATTCTCAATGTTTCAAGTATCAACAAGAGTTTTCAAGGCATCACTATACAACTAGCAGTGGGCTGCCTACATCAGATGTCCCCAAGAGATTGCAAGACAAATGTCAGGGATCATAAGATGATTAACAAGATAAAGAAGCAGAAAAATAGATTTTCCCACTTTACTCTAATTTTTGCATCATTTTGAAAATGTTACCTTCCTCATGCCATGAAAAATCCCAATACTGTGAATGAGTCACAGGAGGAAAGTGCTCATGGCAAACTACTTTGTTCCAAATGGGCACCAGACAAAAAGTTTGGGTACTACAAGTCTCCTTCACAAGTGTAGGAGAAGAAATTATTGTTTTTTAAAATGTGGCAATGGAGAGCCAAAGGAAAAATGCAAATTGCCTCCCTCAAGTTTCAGTGCAGAGACAGTTTAGGGCTGCTCCTGGCACAACACCTCGTCTGTGACGGATGCGTTTCAGCTGCTTGTTTCAATCATCTGTCAAAAATTCATCAGAGAGAACAGATACACTTCCATTTAACGGCCTAGCTCTATGCACTGGCATAGCTGCAGCCTGGGGCATCTTGTTCTGTGTTTGGTCTGTTTATTTCATGGTTCTGTACAGCTCTGTGAGCTCTGCCCAACACCTCCGTAGCAGGACACACACTAATGGAGGGCTGATGATGATGATGCTGTGTGGCCAGTGAAGACAAGCTGTATATAATCATGTCTTGTGTGTTCAGCAGAACAAACTTACAGTAAAATACCTTTCCTCCACAATATGTGTGTAAATCTGAGCAGCTAGGCCATACATGCTGAAGAATAATGAGTTCTATCTATGTCTGTTTTCTCTTCTCTGACGTGACTGGACGGTTAGAAGACGAAGATCTCTTTATACAGCAATCAATTCCGGCAGCAAAAGCACAAGTCAGTTCTTTTTCAAGTATTTGAGACTTCAAAACAAGTAACAAGTCAAATACTGTTATCTGAATGTGACTCGGCTCAATGAAACACAAACACCTCCTGTGTTTGTGGACTAAGTGCCTGTGTTGGGCAGAATAATAAAGGAGATTCATGGATTGATTCATTTTAGTCTCCTTTGCAAACTTTGTTAACCACAGTAAACTGTGCTTTCACACTGACAATAGCACTATGGCAGAAAAACGCAAGGGGCTGTGTTGGTGCGCTGCCGCAGCTAATTAGAGATGGAATGCACGCAACATGTCCAGTCTTAAGGCTTATCAAAAACCAGGCCACCACGTAACACTCTGAGTGCTCGTTCTCGTCTGAAGCTGGACTCCACCGCACTGCAACTTTCATTTTCCCCCTCATCTTGATGAGGTAAGCAGCTGAGCACATTGCTACATTTTACACACTGCAGGGTATTCTACCTGCTCTGGTCACTTGCACATTTGACCGGTTAGCAATACTGCACTGCAGGAAAATGTCACTGAAATGAATGAGGAAACATATAATCACTGTTGCTACGGTGTTATTATTAATGTGAAAGCATATACTGTATATAAAAATGGATGACGTGTCACTGCTTCCTGCCACTATGCAAAAGTGAAGCTAAAATGTCACAGCTATGGGGGCAGCCATCTTTCTTTTGACACATTTTGCAAATAGATTGTGTGCAGCTGTGAGCAGAGGTGGAGCTGCGGTTTTTAGTTTGGTTCATGGCCCATCAACTAATATGTAGAGGCCACAACCAGCCACCAGGGGGCAATCGACTTGTGGTGGCTTCACTTCTGGGAGCTGTCACATCATCCATCTTCATATACAGTCTGTGTATGAAAGCCTGACCTCCATACAGTAACAACTGTGTGTGTGTGTGTGTGTGTGTGTGTGTCTGGGTGTGTGTGTGTGTGCCAAATGTCAATTGTGATATTTATGATGAATGATAAAATTCCAGTGTAGACAATAGCCATAGTTGGACCAGGGCTTAAGTCCACTTAAGGGTAACACTCACAAGCAGCGTATAATGCATGTCACATCATCCATTATTTCCTATGTAAACCTGCACCAGCAACATGTTCTCGTTGCCTCGTTGTCCCATTCCTAGCACGTCTTTAGAGCAAAGCAGCAATCATATCACATTTGCTCCACACATCCTGGTTAATGTACCTGGACTGTTGCTTCTATCTCTGCCTCCAGTCCAATGTGTGCTTCAGGTGTAGGTTGATGCAATCAGCGTGTTTCACACTTACAATAAGCCCCTCCCCACCCCACCACCACTACCACCACCCAAGCAAATTCCACATGAGAGATCCTCTCTTCATTATTTTCAATTTCAATAAAAATGTCATTACTAAAATTTTAGGTTTTCCTTCTGGGACCATTCTTAATTTGCACTTTAATAAAAACTAAACTATACTGGACAAGTTAAATTGGTGTATATCAGTTCATCTCAGTTCATTTTCAAGGACTGGTTGACAGGTTCATAGTAAAACTGCTAACCAATATGCTTAGAGGGCAAGCTATTAAAGTGGTTTTCACACCACATTGCTAATACCGTGACACCCTCCTGTCTCACTTGCAATTAATGCTGTAATCTACACTACACTCTTACATTTAAAAGGGGAGTGGTGGAGAATTATAAAATTCTGCTCATGGCCCCAAATATTTTTGGTCTGGCCCTGGCTAAGGGGCTAAAGTGCATGGAATAGCACTGAGAAAGAAAAGCAGATGTAGACATTAGGCTGAATGAATGACTTCTTGGCAGATTAAATTGTAGTTTATCAGCCCTTGGCAGATGGGCCACAACATCTAGTGTAGCATTTAATGGACATATACAGTACACGGTGGAGAGTATTTGGGGACATTTTCTTCATCAAAAGAATCCCCAGAATACATGCAAAAGCACAGCCAGCCTACTGCCAAGGTCAGTCCTCCTGCTCCTCGCTGTCCTGCCGAGCGTCTGTCCTCTTCTCTTTGTGACACAAGAAAATTCGTCGCATCTCCTCCTCGTACCGGATGAAATTTTCACCAAACCGAGCCCAGGCTTTTAGAGGAACTGTGATGGTGTTTCGATAAGGCTGCCGCACTTCGCTAATTTTTAAAAAGATACCAAACCTGTTAGACCCGACGTCAAAGTAAAACCTCTTCTTGTCCACTCGGAAAGACGCAGCCTCTGGAAGCTCGGGGTTGTCGCTATGAGCCCTGGACACGGCTCGGCCGCGCTCGTCGCTGTCCTCGTCTCCGTAGTCCTCTATGAGCTGTGACAGCGCGTCTCTGAACTCGATGAGCCCCTGCGCGGGCAGCACTATGGTCTGCTCGATGCCCTGGCCGTAGTAGCCCATGGTGCCGTGTCCCTTGTTGACAGTCTGCCGTATGCGGAGGAACCGACCTCGCTGGTTCTCTTTCAGGTCCAGAAAGTACTTTCTGTTGTCTCTCTCGATGAATTCGCTCTTGAGCACGCGGTGGGCATGGTCGTCGGACACCGCTGAGCTGGTGGGAGACTGCGCCGCGTGCTGCTCCTGCGCTCTTCTGCGGGAGTCGTGCGCGCGGCCCTGGCCGTCTTTGCTGTGCTCCTCGAGCTGCGGAGGCGCCAGGCCCCCCCGCAGTCCGATACGGGCGTAATAATCTATAAAGTCCCCCAGGCAGTAGCGTAGAGCCGGGGCCATCGACATAGACAGCGTCAGCTTGCTCTTTCTAATGTTATCATGACGGCCTCTTCCAATCCACACCTCGGCTATTTTGAGGAAGCGTCCGCGTACACTCTGCTTGACATCCAAGTAGAAGCGTTTCTTCTGAATGTCGACGCGTTTTGAGGCTAACTCCTGGATGTCATTGCCCTGCTGCTGTGATCCGCTCTGCACATATTGCTGAGGATACGTAGATCTCGGTAAAGAATCTGCTGCAGTCTTACCCCTGCCTCTTTCCATCCCTCTGCAACATCCATCAGCCATCATGATTGATATTCCTCCACTAGACAGCACAGGACAAAGCTATTCCCCCATCCCAGTGGGCGACTAACAGGCGAAGACAGCAGGCTTATACAAGTGGCTTGAGCTACAAACAAGTTAGCCAGATGCCTCGAATGACCTGAAAATGGCAGCTACTTTGGAGACATCAGCTGATCGACTTTCTGTGTCCCGAATAAAGGTCAGCCTCGACTATTTAGTCATTTCTACTGCAAACTTGCATGTCATTTTCCATCACCTATTTGCCTTACACTGTGAGCCAGAGAAGCAGCCAACCTGAAATGGGAGGAGGCGCCCAATACTACATGAACCCGATGAACCCATCCACCCCCCCCTCCCCGTCCTGAGAATACCTCAGTTAAAGAGACACGATTTACACAGTCGCTGTTCAGCCTGTACTTCTCACACAGGAGCCTTCAGCTGCATCGAGCGCATCTGCAACCATTCTACACGGGATTTTCAGGAAATGACACCTCAAATCATGCACCGAGTCCTCGAGTTACTCAATATGTCAATTGGTGAAGAGAATGTAGTAGAAATCAGGAATGGTTAAGAAAAAAATGATTATATAGATCAAAATTCTGACTCAGTGTCTCATGGTGGGCCCCTATTTATAGTACATTTAAGTCAGTTTCAATAAGATATAAAAATGAAAGTTATGTATCATAACAATTAGAATTCTCGTTTACTTTTCAGACAGTTATACAAGATAACCTGCCTGCTCCTAATACCACAGTGCCTTGTTTGTACCTTTTTATTTCTACACAGTTCGATACACAGCGTATAGTCACTTTTGCTGCTTCCTCAGCTTCCCAAGCCCATTTCTGTCAGGCATAGAGGATGCAGAAAAATTTTGACTTAGTAATGGAGAAAAAAGAAGCTGGTCTGAAAACAACAACCGTGCAGCCTTCACACAGCAGGTATAATCATCCTACTTTTTTCATACCGCCTAAGGGATGTCACTGCAACGCCCTACAAGCCAACAGAACAGCTGCAGGAACCAGTCGGATAGTCTGTGTGCACTTTCTTTTTGGTCTTATTTCTAACCATCCAGTTCATATTAGGGACAGAATCAGTGTTATTAGATGGAAAAATGAGTCAGGGGGTGTCTGGCCCCCAGCTCCTATGTAGTCTTTGTTTAACCATGTAAGATCAGCAATGTATCCATGCTGATGTGTTTTTCTCCACACGCATTATAATAAATAACTATAACCCCTTCAAGTTCTCTCACGTCACTGATTCCTGCAGGCTGCAACAGGACGGATCTTCAAGTGTGATCCTTATCTATCACTGAGTGTCTCATAACTTAGTCGAAATTATGTGGATTTTGTTTTTATATTTTTGTCCACTTTTTTCTTGGCGCAAAGTAGTTTGGACATCATTAGATGGAAAATGTCAATTATACAAGACTAAAGCTCAATAATGTGAGCTGACATCAGCATCAGTTAAAACATTTATTTCATATTTTAGACCGATAATCATTTAGTGTTACAACAGCCTCTTCAACAGTCCACACAGAAAACAGTGATTTGAAAAAAGTTAACACAACTTTTAGTCATCAGTTGTCCTTGTCTTTCACTTGGCATGTGACTTTATCACTTAGATTTACATTTGAAAATGCAGACAATCTTATTTTGTTCCTTGAGGTGTACTGTCGTTTAAACGTTTCTGTCCAGAAAATCTGCAGTGCTCAAAACAACTCGGGACCAAACCTGCTGTAATTGACTCCCCTGGCCACTTGGGGGCACCAGAAACAAGCTGTGAACACAGCGCTGACATAGCATCTTGATAAGTTATGTTGAACTTGTTAGCCAACCCTTGATCATTTCCATATGCAGATGAGCAACACGATCATTCATCTGGAAAGATCCACCTGATGAATATATGGGCAATAATCACCCTATTTTATCTTTGTTATTGGTCTCAACCAACTCCTGAGGGAAGTATCTGGCTCTACTGAATGCTCCACTGAGTTCACCTGCTAGTTTCTGTCTGTTTGCTCTTTGATGCTGAGTGTTGAGGTTTATAGTGGCTTTGCAGAGCTTTTGCGCAGCCAAATATGCTGAGAGTGAACCAAAACAGCAAAGTTGTGGTCCAAACATTAAACAATGAGCTGAAACGCACCCCAAAGCTCTGTAAAGTCAAGGGGAGCTGCAGATTCATCACAGCTTTTGACACTGTAGATATAGTTATAAAAGTATCAGCTCCTCTTTAAGCAAGTCTGCTGAGATCAGACCTGAATCAGACCAGAATGATCACAGTGAGTGTTTCATCACATTGTCAGGTCACTTCTCAATAATTACTCAGAGCTGTACTTGGGCAAAACTCTGAAATGTATTGATTTTTCCCAAGCTGGGCATATGTACTGTAAAGCACCGAGCTAATACTGGTTGAAAGTGACATATTAAGTTTATTGGTGTCTGTGATCTCAGGGTTCTTCTAGTGAAGTGCACAGAACCACAGCTGTTTATGATGGCAGTAAATTCAGTATTGTGTTTAAACTGTTAATGCTGACACAGGCTGGGGTGAGGGAGCATCTCCCGTTATAGCAGAATTCTGTGTATTCACAGAATCACTTCTGCTTCTATGAATGAAATGAACATTTAAGACCTTACATTTCTGAAGTATATATTTTTTCCATTTCTATCTTTTCGATTTTAAAAGCCAGTTATAAAGATATTCTTTATTGAACATGCATTGGCATCTCAATAGCGGAACCTGTCAGTGTGACTTTACTTAAAGGGTGTTACTTGATTATACTCATTGCAGTGTATTTATTTAAGCTGAAAACTATGTGCGTTGAATGACAAGGGTCAGGTAACAGCCCTGCAGAGGTTAAACCCCTCCACAAGAGGGCACTACAGCAAGAGACTGATCAAACTGCGACAAGCCGTCTGTGTAGTTCAAAGTGTCCATGTGTCAAGTATGATTTGGGTACGGACTTGCTATAAAGATTTGACTAGTTATTGTTTCATGTTAGTGCAAAGCAAGCAAAATACTGTTACAAGCTCATATTTACAGCTTTACAGAGTACTTTCCCAAAGTATCCTGGACTAGTTATACTTGCAAAAGACATACTGGTACAGTCTTCTCTGTCTCAGAGGCTTGAAATGCACATTTGACATTAACAGAGGGCACAAATGCATCCACACAAATGGCACAAGTCAGGTCTGTGTTCTTACTGTGGCCTGTAGCCACCCAGCTGAGGCATGTAGCTAGAGATTGGTGTTGATGGCAGCCAGTCAGCTGACTGCTCGTCTGTAGGTGTCATCTGCTCAGAGTTCTCTTCCAGGGAACAGAAGTCTAGAGGCTCCAGTGCCCTTTGCTGTTCCATCTCCAGCTCTTCATCCCCTGCAGTGTGTGTGAAGCAGGGCTGTCGGGAGAAACGCTGAGACTGTCTGCTGCCCTCCTGCACCAACATGTCTGGGTTCTCCTCAGAGTCCAACAGGGGCTGCGTGGACTCCGACCGTGAAAAAATGGTCTGCTGGGGTTGGGAGCTTGGGTTCTGACCCTTGTAACCATTAGAGGCCACCACCGATGAGTACTGAACGGTGCTGGCTGTGGTGTCAGCCATGTCGCCACCCTCATCGCTGTCGGACACACTCTGGCGAGGTGAGGACATGCAGGAGGAGCCACCGATGCCGCTGCTGTGTTCCTCAGACAGATACTTGTCCTTCTTCAGAGCAAGACTGGCCTTGTCTTCTTCAAACACACACTTTCCATCACATACATCCACATCAAGTACACTGATGCCAGACAGACAATTCTCCTTCGGTGTGTCTGCCTGTAGTGGAGGACAAATTGAAGCGTAAAGTTGTTATCAGATTAAAAATAAATGCAAAACCCCAGATAATTTAGTATGTGAAAGTCACTGGCTACAATTTTCTCCATTAATGCCAACTTGCCGTCACTGACACTATCATTTGGGTAAAGTTATTTTTGTCTGGGTTCACCTACACCAAACTGGATGCACTGAGTCAACAAACAGGACCTCTGCAATTAACTGTATATGATAGACTTGTCAGCAGCCATGTTTCTATAGAAAAACCAGTAATGCTTTCAAGTGGGCCTTCCAGTTTTCCAGCAGCCCTGTGAAGGGTGTAGTTGGAAAGTGTTGGTCAGGTGGTTACAAATCCTCCTCACTGAAGTCCCAAAGACTACTTCACTGCTCTGTCTGCAATGTTCCGCAATGTTCTCCCCCCAGATGAACCCTCAACCTGCATTTACACACATCTCAAATCGTCATGGCTTTCAAAAAGACTGATGCTATATTCTGTAAGAGATAGAGATGTCCCAGTCTGATATTAAGTAAAGATATCGGTGCAGATCTTGGTAAAAAATATCAGAACACCTATTAGTAGAACACAGTGATCAAAGTGAACATGGATGATCACATGAAAATTAAAAAGTACTGTATCTTCGCTGTAGTAAGCATTTGCA